GCATCTTGTACAGCAATTAACCACTAAGAAGAATATATGCAGTGTATTATTTGTTGAAACTGTACTTTCGATTTGATTTTTTTTGTTTTTGTTTTCGATTTGATTTGAAACTGTCTCATTGCTATATGTTTATCAATAAAACTTTGAAAAGAAAAAAAAATTGGCTAAACCATGAAAAAAAAAAAATACAAGGGCCCATTGAGATAGCTCAGCAAACTAAGGTGCCTGCCTAGGCAAGCACAGGGACTGAGGTTCGATCCCCAGCACCACATGCCATGCCAGCCTTGCCCCCAGAGCAGGCTGAACCAGCCACAGAGTCCAGATGTAGTGGCGCACATCTGTAATCCCAACACTGGGGAGGCTGAAAACAGGAGGATCACTATGAGTCTGAGTAGTGAGACCCTGTAACCACCAAATACATTTTTTTAAAAAATGCAAATAAGAACAACATTGAGATTCCATCTCCAGAAAGAATGGCTATCATCAAGAAATCTCACCATGAGGAATGTTGTCATATGACTATAATCTCAGTACTCAGGAGGCTTTAGAAGGAGAATCACTGTGAGTTTGAGGCCAGCCTGAGCTACATAATGAATTCAGGACCAACATAACACTCTGTCTTAAAAAATCCAACGAACAGAAACAAAAGAACTCAAGCAGTAACAAATACGAGAAAGGGTCTGAGGGAAAAGGCACCCTTCTGCGCTGCCGGTTTCATATAAGTTAGTGTAATTACTATGGCAATCAGTGTGGAGATACCTCGAAAACTAAAACTAGAAATTCCATTCAACCTAGCCGTTCTTCTTCTAGGTATCTTTCTGAAAGAATTAAAGACATCATACTGCAGTAATACATGACTATCCATGCATACAATTCCTAATAGCTAAGTCTTGGAAGTAGCCTGTATATCCATTCGATAGATGAACAAATAAAGAAAATATGATATTTAGTACACAGTGGAGTACTACAATGCCAGAAAGATAAATTGGAGTCCTTTGTGGGAAAATGGATGCATTTTAGGACCATTATATTAAGTAAAATAGACACACAAGCTCAAGTATTGTATGACTTCTCTGAGAAACCCAAAGTATGAGTAATTTGAAGAGGAAGTGTAAGTAATTGCAACAGGAAGTAGATCTTTTGCAAATGGAAAGCGAATGTAAAGGTAGAGGAAGAGAAAGAAAAGTTATGTACATATATCTTTTCCCTATAATGAATGTAGCCATTATGTACTACAAACATGTACCTTAAAAAAAAAAAAAAAAATTGTTGATGGTAGACCTCCAAAGTAGCAAAAGCTCGTCACCAGTAGAACCACAGTGCCATCTAGTGGAGCCCTGACATTTGCATGAAGCAGGAGGTAACTAGGAACTAAAGTTATACTGACTTTATTCCAACTAGCTTCCACTCTTAGTAAACAGGACTTTGACATCTATGCGACCACATAGTTTCCTTCAAGGAAACTAATCTCCCCCAAAATTATGCCCAAGCCCAAACAGCTGAGAAAGTTGACCTAAAAGGAAGATTAGTCTTCTTCTAAGATGTTGAACCCATTTGGAAAGATTTTTCACAGAAAATCTTGTTTCCTTCATACCAATGTCAAGGGTGGGTCAGAGGCAGTTGTTCTGCCAGTGTATCAAGTGGCTCTTGCCTCCCTCCCCAGTGCAAATGACCAAACAAGTCTGGCATCATGATGCCTATCCTCATTTCTGTTTGGGAAAGGGGAGGCCTCGGGGATAAGGGAAGGGGTTTGTGCCTTGATTCTCAAGATCAGATGTGGCAAGTGAAACGGTTCAGAACCAGCCATTGCCCCTGCAGAAGGGCGGGGCCTCTTTAGCTACTAAAAATGTGTAGCTAACTGCTGTGTCTACCGTATGCCAGGAAGAACTCTTCAGGTTCCAATTCCAGAGGCTTGTTGTTCCTAGCTACTAAAACACTCTGGTCTTTGAACTAGTTTTGTTGTTTGTTTGTTTGTTTGTTTGTTTCCCCACACTTAGTGAGGGGCTTTCACTAATTCAACAAAATCTACAAACATTTATTTAGTCCACATTATTTGTAGGACACTATAGTAGAAATATGGCTGGTTTTTATTTTTTAATTAATAATTGGAACCCTCACAGGGTATCTGTAATATAGCAAAGAACAGATGAAACAAAAACAGATACCTTAAAAGGCAGAGAGACAACAGAGCACTGATGTGTGGTAAAGAAGAATGAACTTGAGTGATCTGCAGAAAAAATGCTTAGACCCTGAGACAGTGTTAAGTGAAGTAAATCAGATATATGAGCTTCAGAGTCACATGTCTTCTCTTTTGTTTTTGTTGTTTCTTTTGAGAAACCCAACGTATAAATTATTTAAAGAGCAAAATGAAAAATAATAGGAAAGGGACTGGGGAGATGGCTCAGTAGAATAAGCGCTTCCCTGGCAAGCACAAGGGTCTGAGTTCAATCCCCAGTTCCCCCCCAAAAAAAAATAATAATAATAATAGGAAACAGGGAGCTGAACTTTTGCAAACAGAAAGAGAATAACAGATGGACTGGGGGGAAGAAATGAAAAGAATTAAGATGCTACGTATGTGCACCAATTCCCCATGATGAATGTGATCATATACAGCAAACTTACACTAATAAAATTTTTTAAAGAAATTATTAAACTAAATAGATTTTAAAAGGCAGAGAATCGTAAGTGTTCAAATAAAGTTAGTTGAGTTAGAAATGGATAAACTATGCTATTTGAATAGAAAAATATTGTATATTTAAGAAGAGGAAATATAGATGAAAAATCAAAGAAAATACCAGCACAGAATAACTGAGGAAATGGATAGATTGAGTAGTATATGAGGACTGTTGGAAAACAAACCTGAAAAGGTGTGTGAAAAAATGGGAAATGACCAGTTATAAACACTTAGGATCTAAACTGGGTATGGTGGAGCATATGTATAATCCTAGCACTTAGGAGACTGAAATAGGAGGATCCCCAAGAGTTCAAGACCAGCCCGGGCTACTTGGTGAGTTCAAGGCCAGCATATAGTGAGACCATCTCAAAACAAAAAATAAAATAAAAAATGGATTTAACTCTGCAGGAAAGAGAGCAAGTCTTTAAAGGCAGAGGTAGGGCTGGAAGTGTAGCTGAATAGTAAAAGCACTTGAGAACCACCCACAAGACCTTGGGGATTTGAAAGAAGAGTATACCAATTGTGATCCTCCTGACTCAGCCTCCTGAGTAGCTAGTATAACAAGTGTGCCACCAAATCCAGCTAAGATGGACTTTTTTAGGTTAAATTCAGAATTTCTTTTGTGACCTGGACTTGGTATCCTCCCATGAGTACACTTCTCTCACTGTGTAGGCAAGGAGAAACTGGCGTAGGACTATCATCAGCGAGAGACATATGCTGGGCTCCTATTTTATAAGACTCTCTCAAGTTTACATTATTGTAAATCGAAGACGTCCACTCAGTTCAGCAAACATTCATTAGGAATTGATTATATATGAGTGGGATACATAAAAATAGATAACGGGATATGTTAGACAGACTCAAGAAGAAGTAACAGCAAACTGGGAGACTTAGGGATTTGAGATAATTCCCAACAAATGGGTAAAAGTGAGGCAACTCATGGAGAAAGAAAACATATTCCACGCACAGGAGTAATATAACCAGAAGTGAGGATTCAAGAACATGTATGAGATTCTAGAGACATTGAGCACATCTATTTGACCAAAGTAGAAGTTTCTCACGAGGGAGTGATGAAAACTTAAGGATTGCAGCTAAAGTTAAGGTTTGCAGAAGATATGAACTTCCCAGGGCAACTGGACTCTATTAGCAATGTATAGGATCAGTTTTTTACCATGGAGGCATCCAGAAACGAACATGTGCCGTGAGGACCATCCCTCTACACTTGGTTTTATAGGTGCCTCCATTGCTCTAATGGACAAAGAAGGGTTGACAGCACTCAGCTGGGCTTGTCTGAAAGGCCATCTCTCAGTAGTACGCTCACTGGTGGATAATGGAGCTGCCACAGACCATGCTGACAAGAATGGCCGCACCCCACTGGACCTGGCAGCTTTCTATGGTGATGCTGAGGTGGTGAGTACCTTTAAACAGCTTCAGAGGGCCGGCCAGGTAGCTTAGTGGATTAAAGTGCCTGCAAGCAGGTGCAGGGGCCAGGGCATGCTGAGCCCGCGATTGAGACTGGGCATGGTGGTGCACGCCTGTAATCCCAGCTCTTGCGAGGCTGTAAGCAGGTGGATCACTACAAGTCCAATCTAGTAACAAGACCCTGAACACCCTGTAGACCCTTTTCTAAAATACAAAAGAAAAAAAAACCAGCTTCAGAAGAGCAGGGATAGGGACTCTTCATCCTCAGTAATACTCACTGGGCTTCAAAGGTGAGGTCCTATTTTAATGTTTCGTGTTGTAGAATTCTCAGAGCTTTATTTGCTAGAAAGTAAGAGCACATAAAATGCTATCAAAGATTAAGGCTATATTCTCAGACCAAAAAGCTACAACTCTTGTTGCACAGGTCCTGCTTTACCTTGGTCTTAACTATCTAGTAGAAAAGTATGAAGAGGAAATATAGGAAGTAAAGCCATGCTGTTAAGTTGAGCTGTGGGGGACTCAGGTCAATAATTTCTGACATTGCCAGTTAAACAGAAGACCCAATGCTATTATGGGCTACTGGACTCTTTTAGAATATTTTGCTGAGTTTACACACCTATAATATTCAATAACGGAACTTAGAAAAAATGGGGTATACCGATGAATGTCCATTTTGTATCTGTGTATTCAAAGAGGTTAGGATAGATATATAGTTACATTCTCTCAATGAATAGAATGATTTGTTCTAATGGTGTTTGTAAATAGGATCTCAAGTCCGCATCTTGTACAGCAATTAACCACTAAGAAGAATATATGCAGTGTATTATTTGTTGAAACTGTACTTCCGATTTGATTTGAAACTGTCTCCTTGCTATCTGTTTATCAATAAAATAAGAAGTTAAATGCCAAAAAAAAAAAAAAAAAGATTAAGGCTATAGCTGTGGCTTGAAATACCATAGCTATACAGCCTGATTCAGAGCAGCAGCCGAGTAAAGGGCCAGCGGCAGCCAGCTCCCTCGGTGAAGCAGTGCCGAGCAGTTACACCTGCTAACTGCTCTGCCTGATCCCTGTTGTAGGTCCAGTTCCTGGTGGACCATGGGGCCATGATCGAGCACGTTGACTACAGTGGAATGCGCCCTTTGGACAGGGCGGTAGGGTGCCGGAACACTTCTGTTGTGGTCACTCTCCTGAAGAAAGGAGCCAAAATAGGTAGGAGAAAAAGAGGTGATGTTGGCCATCTGTGCCCAGGGGCCAGACTGGTCCAGTGGTCTGACTTCCCAGGGCGTTTAGTGTGGTTGTGTATAGTTCCCCTCTACCATGGCCCAGTTAAACCTAGTGAACAAAAAAACAGGTGGTGCAGGGAGCACCATCCGAGCCGTGGTCTGTAGCACTTTGCATCTAGGTTCTGTGCCACTCCCCTTTGTAGCCTTAGCCAGGAGGCCGGCGCTAACCCTGCACACACCTCAGCGCTGCCTCCGTCCCGCCCCACTCTGAGCCTCCTGGATCCCTGCAGTGCCGTGAGCCCTTGCTTCCTTGCTCTGAATGTGCTTCAGATGCTCCAGTCCCTGCTGCCTGTCCCAGCTGCTCCCCACCCACAGCCCCGTAGACAAGGGTTGGCTGATGTGCTGGCTTTTTTGCTGCCTGCCTCTCACTGCTGCTTTTTCCTTCTTTTTTTTTTTTTTTTTTTTTTTTCACCTTCATCCATTTTTTTTTTTCCTCTCCTACAACTTTTTGTTTTCTCCTTTCTTTGAAGGTTGTCAGACGTTACCGAGTCGCCCACGAGGTATATTTCACCGCTGTCAGCATCAGGCGTGGTCTGATGGCTTGGTCAGCTTTGCCTTCTCCTTTTAATTTTAGCCTGCATGAGTTCCCTACACCTCTAATCTTTTAATTTACTTCAACTTAAAAGAAGATTTTTTTTTAATGACTGTTGTAGAGAATAACTTGAACTTTTTATAACTAAACCTGAGAAGCCTCGTTGGTAAATAAGCCCTCTGTAAACTAATCAATTTAACCTTTTCTTTCTTTTGTGGATAAAGTAGTTCTCAATAATGTTGGTTTGTTTCATGTCTGTTTGATATTCAAACTGTACTCCTGGTTCAAAGTGAATCTTAGGGAGTCTGATTTGGTACTTATAAATTAAGGAAGCCTTTAAAGTCTTTTCTGGTTTCCCTTCTGCAGAATACATATTTAAAACTTAAGCGTCTAAATACCTGGGAGTTTTGAGTTCTAAATCAGAAATAAAGTATCTTTTTCAAATCTTTTAGTGACCTTTAATAAAACCCCTTCTCCCAATTTCTTGATGTAAAAATACTTCCATACTACACCATTGTGTGCCCACAAAGGCTCTGCTGTCTTCCTTCCTCAAGACAGTTCAGATACTCTTACTTTAAGGTGAATACAAACCCAACACAGCTTCTTGGCAGTGGGAGTCACTAAAATACTCCCAGGTCTAAACAATGAGGTAATTATTGTGGAGCAAGTTGTTCTCTCAGCAGAAATTCCCCCAGGATGTTTTTTTCACCTAGCTTCCTACCACCCTTACATTGTATGAGTTTTTTACCCATCATGCATCCTGTACACTACAGGTCCAGCCACATGGGCGATGGCCACCTCCAAACCAGACATCATGATCATCCTGTTGAGCAAGCTGATGGAAGAGGGGGACATGTTCTATAAGGTGAGGGCAGGAGGAACATTCCTCAAAAATCCATGTTTTCTGTATGTAGAATATTCCAAATCTTGACATTTATCACCTTTTAGCTAGAGAAAACTAAAAAATGTCATTCCTCAATGATTAGCTCCAACACTGAAGATACCGGGGTTTTGCCTTCCCAACAAGAGTAACCTACAAGCCAGGAGTGGTGGTACATGCCTGTAATCCCAGAAGATGGGAGGCTGACACAGAGGATCATCATGAGTTTGAGGGAAAAAATAAAAAAGAATTTGAGGCCAGACTGAGATACATAGTGAGTTCAAGGCCAGGCTGGACTACACAGCGAGACTCCATATCAAAAAAAAGTGATCCACATATGTGTGCAGCATACATGCTAGTTTTAGCTGACCTTTATAGGTAGTAACATCAATTTTATGTGGAAACTATTTAGTGGAAATTTATAGAAAAAGTAAAAATAAAATTATATAGCTATTTTCAGTCTGTTGATTATAGCTTTCATATTTAATATGTACAATAGGATTTAAAGTCAATAAATATAATAGCATTTCAGCATCTTTGAATAAGATATGGAAACTAAGGGCAATAGCAATTATATGATTTACTTCAAGTCACCATATTGAAGGACAGCCAAAAAAAGGGTGTGGTACTTCTGCACTCATAATTCAAGCTGAAGTCTCCATACCTTAAAATAGATGTGTCCCATAGAAAGTTCCTTAAGAACATTCCATTTCAGAGTCATCTCATCATGCTTACATTAGCTGGATCATATTCTCCTGAAGATAACAGCAAATCCAGCCCAGTGTTTAACAGTGAACACCTCTGAGACATTCCCAGGTCCAAAAGATGAAGAAACTGTTGTGAAGCATGTTATCCCTACCATATGTCAGAAGTATACAAGTTCTTGGGCTCAGAATTGTATTTCTTGAATACCCTTTGAGTGAGAGTCATGTTAACCTAGGACTCTCAACTTGATTTTATGTTGCTTCACAGAAAGTGCTCGTTGTTCTAGATGTCATATCTATGGAATTTAAAGTGGCATTGCTCCTAAAAGTCAAAGTCTTGATCATAGTATGTCTTCTGGTATTCCAAGGCAGAGAGTCCAATCTAATGAAAATAAGCAGAGCTATTATTGTTCTCACCCAGAATTCCATTCTGGAAGACTCCAGTTTCCTCCTAGTAAAAGATGCTACAGGAAGAATAAAAGATTCCAACCTGGGGAGTTAGAGCAGTATAGATGGCATATGGTAGATAAAGGCAGGAGATGCCTTCTGTGTCTTTCTGGACTCAACTCCCAGATTTTCAGATACAAAATGAAAGAAAAACTCAAAGCCCCTGTGGCTGGATCCTTAAGTTGGTCATAATTTACTTTATCTTCAAAAGTCTCTTACAAAGGCAATGGAATTCCTTTTTTTTTTTTTGAGGATTAAACCCAGGGCTTTTACACTGAACTGTATCCTCAGCCTGGTATTTTCTTTTGTGTACATATGTTTTATTTTGAGATGGTCTCACTGAGTTGCTCAGGCTGACTTGGCAGTCCTCTTGCCTCAGGCTCCTGGATAAAATTACAGATTCTGAGCTTCACTTCTCTACTACTGTATATCCTTTACCCCCTTCCTTGGAGGAAACTGGTTGGCATTATTTTCTACCATAAAATTAAGGAAGCAGCACCTGGGCCACTTTAGCTATTATACTCTTTATGAAGAAGAGAGTTCTTCCGGAAGGCAGCATAATAAGCCATCAGACAGGAAAAGACTCTCCAAACAAGCCAGCAACCAAAGAAGCAGCAGTAACCATGGAGTGCGTAGAGACACAAGTTCAAGAAAAATTAACTGTGAAATGAGCAAGGTCAGCCCTCCAGAATCAAATTATGAAGTTGAGGTTCAGCCCCTTCCATCTGCCAAGACTTTGTTTCTCTGGCTTGTAACTTGAGTGTTCCTTTCAACCTGTTGTTTCCCACCAGGAGAGTTACTTCAGTAAAGATTAGACCTGGGCTGGGGATGTGGCTTAGTATAACACTTGTCTAGCATGTGTGAGGCCCTGGGTTTGATCCCCAGCACAGCCAAGGGGAAAAAAAGGTTGGGGGAGCCAGGGATGTAGCTCAGTGGCACAGCCACCTGCCTAGCAAGTGCGAGGTCCTGAGTCTGATTCCTAATACACCAAAAAAAATAAAGAAAGAAAAATAGTAAGAAAAAACCCTAAACCTGCTCTCTCCATCAGGGTATGTGGTAGACTACATCCTGAAGTAATAACTGCTGAGAACAGGAAGGGAAAGGAGCAAAACTTCCTCAGCTGCTGCTCAGCAGACCAACAGTGTGCTTTTCCATCTTGTGCCCCTTTAGAAAGGTAAAGTAAAGGAAGCTGCTCAACGCTACCAGTATGCTCTGAAGAAATTCCCTAGAGAAGGGTTTGGTGAAGACCTGAAAACCTTCCGGGAGCTAAAGGTGTCTCTCCTTCTCAACCTCTCTCGATGTCGTCGGAAAATGAATGTAAGTCTCTCCCATCCCAACTCTTTTCTAGATTCTTGAAAATTGAAAGCTCATGTCACTTACTAGCTTGTACCAGGTCCCTGAAATCCTCTCTACCCCATTTGAAACTTGGTTGTCCTTCACAGAACACTGACATTTGCAATTTGAAAAGAAATCAAGTCTACGTGTACTCCAGTTCTCAAGCTGTAGAAAAGTTAATGTTGTGAGCACTGCGTAGCATGATGAATTTTTGTAATCTCCACTGAAGTAATCAGAACACCGTCCTCCCCATCTCCACTCTCACTCTACCAAGTCAGCATTTTAGTCCTTGGGAAGACGTGGGGGCAGTGGTCTCTAGGACTGCAGCTATGCTGAGGGATTTTATTCCTTGCCTCCTTTCTAATATATGCCTACTCATGGGGATGAGGCCTCAGAACCATCAAAAAGGTTTAGTTCCTAAAGCTATTATTGAACTTTTTGCTTCCTTCTTTACCTTTTCATTCCAGCATGCCATGTCTTTTCTTGCCCTGGAAGGAATCTTAAAAATCTTCCTGTCCTTTGTTATCTCGTGTGAACATGTCCTTGGTGCTTCTCACCTGCCCTACAGATAGTCCCAGGTGCCCTGAGCCTCTGCTTCTCTGACCCACAGACACTCCTGAGCTGAGAAACTGCTCACATTCTAAGCCAAGCATATGAGGACAAGCTAAGATCATGTGAGGACTTGCAGATATCCATCAGCCTTTGGTCTCACAGAGGCAGAAATAATTTCAAATGTTGATTGGTAGAGAACTCAGCTGTACAAAATCAATGTTTCCGCTGACCAGGAATCTGTATCAATTCCAGAAACATTATGGATAGGACTTTTATATCATCAATCTAGGCCCTACCATCTAACAATAAAAATAGCCTCAAGGTGGACCTACCCATCTCAGAAGACACAGTTATAGCCTTCTGAGGCAGGGTTGTCCCTGGGTGCTGAGAGAAGTGGGGACGTGAACAGGTCCCCTTTTCAGGGCTGTATCTCTGGTGAAGGCAACAAGGTGGTTCTTCCTGAAGCAGAAAAAGTAGCCCAAAGAGTCTCCTGTGGTTCCATCTAGTGAGACTAAGGCAAAGCTCAGAAGTTCTTGCCAGCCTATTTCCTTCTTTTTGTCCCTGTTAGATAATAGGCTCCTTAAAGGTACTTTCATAATCCTAGAAATAATTATTATACAAAAAGAAAAAAGAAGATGGGAAACAGCTTGGCCCATATAAATTGAAATGCTTGGGCAGGGGTAGAGCTTCTGAGTTCGACTCGATGTACAGAGACAGACAGACAGACAGACAGACTGACAGAGACTGACTTTCATTCTAGCACTACCTTTGTACAAAAAGCTAGGAATTCTCTCCCACTGGCCAGCACTACACTAACTGCCAGATGTCTGTCTCCTTCCACAGAAATTTGTACAGTAATTTTTTTAATTTACCTATCCTCCAAAGTCCTTTTTTTCCTCTCAAAGTTTTTTTTTCTTCCTCAGCAATCATGGGTATAACCAGAGGCTACAATGCTATACTATAGGTTGACATTAAAAGAAGAGAAAAACTTTCCTCTTTAGCTTATCATTTAAGGGGATTTTTTTTCACCAGGAATCAAACTCCAACCTTGCAATTACCAGGCGGGTGCTATACCACTGAGGTACATCCCTGGCCTTTACGGGGGTCTTAAAGACCATGGACTTTCCCACTCCACATTGTCCCCTGGGCCTCTGTTCCCAGGGGTTCTCCAAGTGAGGTCATGTGGCTCTAAGACTGTGCTTCTCTAGGGGACTTGTAGACACAGCACGGACCTCACTGCCCGCATCCTCTATTTTTTAATGTTTCCTAAGAAAGGAACTAGGAAGAAAAACAAGCCTCTGCGAAATGGAAGATACAATTTGAGTTTCTACTCTGTGCTGAGCACTGTGTATAGCACTTAATTCTTTTTTTTTTTTCAAAGTTTTATTGATAAACAGATAGCAAGCACTTAATTCTTTATCATGCTTAATCCTACCCTATCTCTGAAGAAGGCATGGTTAAGAAAATACACAGCACACTCGAGTTGTGAAACAGATCAGAGAATGGAGCCCAAAGCTGTCAGTACCATCTAATCTCCATGGTCAGTGCACATCGGCTTTCTCGGAGGCCCTGGACTCTGTAGGACGTGCTCTCCGTTGGCCTGAGGAGGGCACAGTAGAAGGGTGCAGGGCTAGGCTAAGGGTTCCCGGGAGGTGAGACCATCTGTAGGTTTATATCATACGTGCATGTGGAACAAGGATTTAGGTTTCCAACTTTAGGATCTTCACTGTAAATGGCTGGTGTTTGGCTTATGAGCTAAAAAGAACTTGCTGAAAAGACAGAAAGATGCCAAGTTAAGTGTTTTAATACTCTGGGCAGATAAAGTCCAGTGATCAGTTGTAGGGCCACTCAAGACAAAAGCAGGAGACTTCCAGTCTGTGGGCCACATGGCCAGAGCCATGTCAATCATGTCCAGAATTCCAGGTGTTCCATCCATAAATGTCAAAGAAATGTAAATATAATTTGTTTTATTCCCAAGTTGTCTATTTTTTATATCTCTTCAATGACTCATTTGCACACCTATTGTAATGACAGGATTTTGGAATGGCGGAGGAATTTGCTACTAAGGCCCTGGAGCTGAAACCGAAATCTTATGAAGCTTACTATGCAAGAGCAAGGGCAAAACGCAGCAGCAGGTGAGGAGAGAGAGAGAGAGGGTGAAAAGCAAGGAGTCTCTTTTCTCAAAATCTGGCCAAGGCAATGTAGGCACCCCTGGGACACATGTACCTGGTCATGTCTGTCACTGAGGCCCAGGCTTTGGGAAGGGCTCCCATAGCGTAGCACTCAGCTCAGGATCAGCAAAGCTGCTGGGCTGTGGGGACCAAAAGCAGTTTACTTTGGGAGAATAATAAAGTAAATAATGACAACTTCTTTGAAAAAGACCTCTGCTATGTTACAAACACTTCTCAACCCTGAAGCAGATAGCATGAAAGACCCTGATGACCTACAGAGATCACTTAGGCAGACTACCCCTGACCCTTTTTTTTTTTTTAAATAGGATTCCACTTTATTTATTTATTTATTTTTATATTTATTTGTGTGTGTGTGTGTGTGTGTGTGTGTGTGTGTGGCCAGCTCAGCCCACCAGGGGGCGGGGCTGGCTGGCATGTGGTGCTGGGGGATTGAACCGCGGTCCCTGTGCTTTGCTAAGCTTGTTGTAAGTAGGTGCTTTAGACCACTGAGCCATCTCACCAGCCCCCCTGACCCTTTTAAAGGGAAAGCACGGAGGGTCACCAGCCATCACGGGGTCCTCCTCTCTTTTCTTATAGGCTATAGGGACTCCCTGAACAGTTTAGTCTTCTTTTTGAAACTCTCCTCAAGTATGGTGGTATCAGCCCTCCTCAATTGAACACACACACACACACACACACACACACACACACACACACAGAGGAGGCCTGCTGCCACGATTGAAGGAACCCAAGAGAAATACTGCCCACATTCCTTGTGCCCTCTGCTCTAGTTTAACTTCTGAGTTAAAAACTTCTTCTGGAAAACCTCCAGAAGAATCTAGAACCTGCCATCAGTTTCTTTGGGTAATTTGTCACTGTCCTTAAGGTCTCCCACCCAGCATCCTACCTTCTCTCAAACTACACTTGGAAAAGAATTGCTTTGGGTTCGTTGCTGTTACAAGGGAGATACAACATGAAAATCAAACCCAAACTGAGGGTAGGGATGATGGCAGCAGTGATACTGGTCTTTACCAACTGAGATGTAAAAGTACTTGCAGAAATTCAGCTGTTGAATTCTTCCTCTCTGGATTGTTCCTTTCCCACAAGATCAGTTGCCCCTTTTCTAGGCAGTACTAATAGAGAGAATGGGAATACCTCTGACAGTTCATTTCCTCATTTGCAAATTAGAATCTCCTTGGGGTGAGCTCAGCCCTGACCTGAGTTTCCTGGTCAGCAAGCTGAATATCTGCTGGCTTTGACCGGGGTAAGGGACAGAAAGGACAGAGGACAGGGCCGTGGCCTAAGATGGAAAAGTCCTAAAATTTATAGCCAAACTATAAAAAATATTAAAAAATTTTCTGCTGGATCAGCAAGATTTTTAAATATCATCATTACTATTTGATTCTTAAACTGCTTGACAGTGACACTGTAAATGACAACCCCACCCAACCTCATACTGCCTGGTGTATATTTGGGCACTAAGAGAATCTTCCTGAAGGGCCTGGCTGGACTGACACGGTAGAGACTTTTTCTCTGCTAACCCCAGAGAGGCAAGAAGGAAGATAAAAGGGCTAAAGAGTCATTCTGGACTCTTCTAGAATGATAGTACGCTCATTTCTTTCCTTACAAATTAAACTAAAGCAAGACACCTCAGTGTCCAACATGTGCCAATAGTGACCGTGTTTGCAGATGTTGGTGGTTCCTATTGATTCAGAATAATTCCAGTTCCTGTGTTTGCATTGTGTCAAGCAGACAGTTTGCAGCAGCCTTAGAGGACCTGAACGAGGCCATCAAGCTATGTCCAAACAACCGTGAGATCCAGAGACTCCTGATGAGAGTGGAGGAAGAATGCAGACAGATGCAGCAACAGCAGCAGCCAGCTCCTCCACAGCAGCAGCCTCAGCAACAGTTACCAGAAGAGACAGAGCCTGAGCCACAGCCTGAAGATGTATACTCCATACAAGATGTATTTGAGGAGGAATACCTGGAACAGGATGTTGAAAATATTTCCATTGGCCTCCAGACAGAGACTCGTCCCAGTCAGGGGCTCCCAATAATCCAGAGCCCACCCTCCTCTCCAGCCCACAGGGATTCAGCCTACATCTCTAGTTCACCTCTTGGCTCTCATCAGGTTTTTGACTTCCGGTCCAATAGTTCTGTAGGTTCTCCCACTAGACAAGGATATCAGTCCACCTCACCTGCTCTTTCTCCAACTCACCAGAACTCTCATTACAGGCCTAGTCCCCCACATACTTCCCCAGCTCATCAGGGTGGATCTTACCGTTTTAGCCCCCCTCCTGTGGGAGGGCAGAGCAAAGAATACCCAAGCCCTCCTCCTTCCCCTCTTCGCAGAGGTCCTCAGTATCGGGCCAGCCCTCCAGCTGAAAGCATGAGTGTCTATAGATCCCAGTCTGGTTCGCCTGTGCGCTATCAGCAAGAAACAAGTGTCAGCCAGCTTCCTGGCAGACCAAAATCTCCATTATCTAAAATGGCCCAACGTCCCTACCAGATGCCCCAGCTTCCCGTGGCAGTTCCCCAGCAAGGGCTCAGGCTACAGCCTGCTAAGGCCCAGATTGTGAGAAGCAGCCAGCCCAGCTCAGCAGTTCACTCAAGCACTGTCATCCCCAGCGGAGCCTATGGCCAGGTTGCCCATTCAATGGCCAGTAAATACCAGTCTTCGCAAGGAGACATGGGAGTAAGTCAGAGCCGGTTGGTTTATCAAGGGTCAATTGGGGGACTTGTAGGGGATGGGAGACCTGTGCAGCATGTCCAGGCCAGCCTGAGTGCAGGCGCCATCTGTCAACATGGCGGATTGACCAAAGAAGACCTTCCACAGCGACCTTCCTCAGCATACCGGGGTGGCATGAGATACAGCCAAACCCCACAAATCGGGCGCAGCCAGTCAGCATCCTATTACCCAGTGTGTCACTCCAAACTAGACCTGGAGCGCTCTTCCAGTCAGCTGGGTTCCCCTGATGTGTCTCATTTAATCAGAAGGCCTGTTGGTGTGAGCCCTAGTGAAGTCAAGCCCCACCCACCAACACCGCGGCCGCTGCTGCACTCGCAGAGTGTGGGCCTTCGCTTCTCTCCATCTAGCAATAGCATCTCTTCCGCCTCCAGCCTAACTCCCACCTTCCGACCTTCTTCCTCAATTCAGCAAATGGAGATCCCACTGAAACCGGCATATGAGAGATCGTGTGATGAGCTGTCTCCAGTATCTCCCACTCAGGGAGGTTACCCCAGTGAGCCTACCCGGTCCAGGACCACACCATTCATGGGGATCATAGACAAAACAGCCCGGACTCAACAGTACCCCCACCTTCACCAGCAGAATCGGACCTGGGCCGTGTCATCTGTGGATACCGTACTCAGCCCCACATCTCCAGGCAACCTGCCTCAGCCTGAGTCCTTCAGCCCACCGTCATCCATCAGCAACATTGCCTTTTATAACAAAACCAACAATGCACAGAATGGCCATTTGCTGGAAGACGATTATTACAGCCCCCATGGGGTGCTGGCTAATGGATCCCGGGGAGACCTCTTGGAAAGAGTCAGCCAGGCCTCCTCTTATCCCGACGTGAAGGTGGCTCGGACCCTACCTGTGGCTCAGGCATATCAGGACAACTTGTACAGGCAGTTGTCCCGGGACTCTCGACAAGGGCAGACCTCCCCTATCAAACCAAAGAGACCGTTTGTGGAGTCTAATGTTTAAAAGACATTTGTTGGAGTGAGACCCATATGTTTTCACTGCACATTTTCAGGCTTGGTTTCCACATCGAGGTAGTTCTCTGGCTTAATTTCTTATGTAATTTGTGTGTGGTGTTCAGAGGTGGCCGCCCACGTGCTGAAACCCTTTGCATGCAGCCGACTGGGAAGCTGGCTCCAGGAAGCCTGGACTGCGGTTTCTCTGGTCTGTGCCCCGGCCACGTGCTCGCTCCTCTTCAGATGCCAACAAGGAGATTCCTGTGCTGTGCGCTCTCACCCAGGGAGATCAGAAACACTGGTCAGCATTTCCAGGAGACAATCGCTTTCACTGATGTTCTTGTTGTAGAAATGTCTTTTTTCCTTTTTTAAAAAGTAAGATGTTCTTGTTCATTTCCTTCTAGGAACTTTAGAAAAGAGTGTGATGCCCCTTTGCCATTGCGTACTTATCCAGTGTTATCTGAATACCCAGCCCCAGTGCATACCTGTACCATGGTCTCCCACCCCCAGACTGCCAGCTTCCTGCAGTCACCAGGTCTAGAATGTTCGTTTGCGTTATTGCTGGTCTTCCTGTGGGGTAGAAGAGTAAAGGAAACAGAAGAAATAAGTCTTTTAAATTTAAAAAAAAAAAAAAGTACAATTATTTGGAGCATCACTACATTGGTTTTCCAAGAGGCATTTTAGGAACATTTAGGACCAGCCAGCCCTCTAAGTGTGTCAGCCAGCCAAGGAAATTCAGTGAGAACCATGGACGTTCTTTTTTTTTTTTTTTTTTTGCAGAACCAGGGATTGAACTCGGACCTTTCCGCTTGCCAGGCAAGCACTTATTCTACTGAGTTATCTCCCTGCCCCTGGACATTGTTAAAGAAGTTACTGAGAATTACTCATAGGTTTTTATCCAGCAAGTAACCACTAAAAGCTACTGATTTTCCAAGGATAAGGAAGAGAATAAATACAGAGAAAAAGAGAACAAAAAAGAAAGGTTGTTCTGGATTCTCAGAAAAATGCTGTAGAACATCTCTTCCACTTTTTAGGTCCTAAAATATCACTGAGCATCAGAGTCTACAGAAAGCAAGCTATTCCTAAGGGTTGTCTGGTATAAAAATCCTGTGTGTTTCATTTTCTCTAAGAGCCATGTTCTGTTTTCTAACCCAGGTATTGTTGAGAACTTGGTTCTTCAAAAACCTGACTGGATTTTCTTGGGACTCGAAGACCGATTCCCAAGGCTTCCACCCAAGGCCGTTGTGTTCCATGCAGTTGTCTAATTCCATTTCAGATTGATAGCTACATCACTCACTACTAGAGGAATTATTTTCTTCTTTAGGGATGTTTTAAAAGGTGATATTACCACATCAGACACCGCAAAAGCATTTTGGGATGAAGCCCCTTTCAGTGCTGTTTTCTAATCCTGGGTGGGGGCATAAGACAGACAACAGGTGTCCTCTGCAGTCATCTGTACCCACCTGCTAGGCCATGTGCTTATAAGTGGCTGAGGCCACATGAAATGGACAGCAAGGACATGGGAACCAAAGCTTTAGTATGGTCCTGTCACTGGCTGCACCTCAGCCTTTAAGATTAAACAGCTAAACCCACTAAACAGCTGAAATTAAGAGTATTAGTTCCCATTGGTAGAAATAATTCTGCCCTTCTTAGTAAAGGGCTACAGGAAAGGCTCTTTCCTGAATAAAATGTAGTTATGAGCAGGTTCTTTTGTAGAAGTATTCTCTGAAAGGATTTTTTTCCCATAATTTTATTGAGAAACAATTTTTTTAAATATATTTGGTTGTTGCAGGCTCTCACTATGCAGCTTGGTCTCGTGGTGATCCTCCTGCTTTCAGCCTCCCCAGCGCTGGAAGTACAGGCATGCACCACTATGCTGGACTCTGGCCAGCTCTGCCCACCCTGGGGACAGGGCTGGTGCAGCACGTGGTGCTGGGGATGGAACTTGCAGTCTCTGCGCTTGCCTAAGCAGGCGCTTTAGTACATTGAGCTATCTCGCTGGCCCTCTGAAAAGATCTTGAAGAAACACAGAGAGCATAAAACTGAGTTTAGAAACATTTCTTTACAGATTTAAATTCTGCTAAGTAGATGAACTTCTCAACCGCAAGCCTAAAACAGCATAACCCTTGTACTCATCTCTGTGCTGGGAGCAAACAGCTGGGGCAGCTGCAGACTGTAGGCACTGCCTCTGCGAAACTAGGCCAGGTTGGGCCTCTACCTGCCTGTCTTTCTGTATCTCACATCAGGAAGAGGACATGTGGGTAGAGGTGTAGCTCTACAGTACAGTGCTTGTCTAACACGTCAGGCTGCAGTGCTCCCAGTGACGGGCTGGTCCCACAGCTTCACATGTCATCATCTTTTCTTCTCTCTTTTTCTTCCTGATGCTGAAGATTGAACTTTCAGCCTCTCAGCTGTGTTTTTAGCCAGGTCTCAGACCTATTTGTCTTTGCAGTTTTGTCCCATTTAAACCATGTTTCCGTGAAGAACTGCTACATTTTGAAGAATTTCTCAGTCAATTAGAAAGGTGCCCCTGCCTATTTGGAATGCCACATTACCACTCAGACTCGTGTGTCATGGTAGGTGGATAATCCATGTGGTTTGGTTTTACAAATATATTACATCTGCCAAGGTTTCTCTTTCAGTTTTCCAGGACTCATGAGAGATTTAGGGACTATGTCCAATTGAGCAAAATATCCACAGGCAAAATGCAGTTCTTTTTTAGCCATACAAGAGAGAGTGAGTATCACTACTAGGGCCCCTTGTTTTTGAAGAAATGAACAGGAATTCGTTGTGGAAAATGAGGTTCTTCCTTGGAACCTGGCTGTGCCCTTTTCCGCTACTTCACTGCCATGGGCTGATCTCTGTACTGTACCTAGAGATGCTCCTTCCTCCACAGCAGGCTTTCACTGCGTCGGTGTCTGGCTTAAGGGGGAGGAAATTGTTCACATGAAGCTGGTGAAGTTCCACTTGCCCAATACACATCACTCTGAAGTGGAGACAGAGGAAACTTCAGCTTAGAGATTGCTTTCCAAATCGTGTGTCCCTTGCCCAGGGTTCTTGCACTAAAGGACTTCCACCACATCCTGTCTATAAATGGGTGCACTTTACTGTTTGAATTTGTAATTCTGATAAATACTGGATATTTAAGTGTGAGTTGTGTCTTCATTAGGAATTAGCAGAATCGCTTGTCTTCTAGTGTATTTTTCAAGAAAAACAAGGAAAAGAAAGAAATCAAGCAGTGAATCACAGCATTTATAGCACAAGAAATAACTGTTGTATATAAGCATCAAAAAGATTTAAGAATTTTTAAACAAATCTTTGCAGTGATTTTAAAGTGCTTTTCCAGCAATTTTCTTAGGGACTCCTGAGACATGGTTACTTTATTTACTGGATCAGTAAGGCACACAATCAACAATTAAAAATAAATGTTTATTTACAAAGTAAAGGAAAAACCTGTGTACCATGAGAATTTGGCAAGGACAAAATGGAGACCATTTTGTATCTGCTGTTGTTGCTGTCTGGGCTGTAGCTGTGCACTGTTAAAGCCCCAAGTTAATAGGGCACAGACCGTGTTCCTCTCCCGTGTACCCTCGTCCCAGGTGTGTTTAGACTTAAACGCGATGGCTCAGGAAAATTCCACTGACTAGAATCATGTACAGTGCCGAGGTCGTTATCCGTATATACAAGGTTGCTGATTTTAGTTAAGCCTGGATTATTAAATACTTTTCCTAAATTATTATAAACAGAACCACCTAGAGAAAGGTGTTCTTGGTCCTTATATTGTATAGTAGTTTATGAACCCCTCTAAATATTGGTATTTTTATATTCCAGAGATGTGCCCAATAGAAAGATTAAAAGTTAATCAGTATCTAATTTAATATCCATAAATATTTTTCCTTAGATTTTAGTCATAAACAGTGGGATACATGGATGTCGCGTGTGCTTCACCATGCTCTACCACTAGGTGTCACTGTGGCTCTGCACCGCGCTCGTCTGGTAGCGAAGGAAGGCAGCCCGCCCTGAGGGGCCGCGTCCAGGGCGGCACGTGGGCCATCTACTGAGGATTAGGAGGAAGGGCATAGCCTGGGAGGGTCTTCGTGGGTCCATGCCGGTTGTAGCAAAACAGATAAACTGCCTGCTTTGGAACTTCGGGCAGGCGTAGGCTGGGCGAGGGCTGACCAGCACGGCCTCGCTCTGACGGCTGGCTGGTGGGAGAGGACCCTTTCCCCGTGAACACCTTCCCTTTCAGCCTCCACCTTTTATAATTCCAGAAGTATCACGGCTGGGTGGTTTGAATCAAAGATAGTTATTTTTCTACTGCAGAAATGCCTTGGACAAAACCAGTTGCTCACTGAATTGTTGCCACGAAGTGGAGCAGGTGCCCCAGGAGGCAAACTGTGCCTGCCGTTTCCTAGCTCAGAGCTCCGCAGCTTCGCTCTCCTTCCTGTCTGTCCCCGGGCCACCCAAGTCTCCAGAAGCCGACCTGCAAAGGCAGCCTGCTGCTGCCTCTACACCAAGGGCCGCACCTCGCCGGGAGGGGTGGCTTCTCTTCTTCCTCTAGGAATTCCAGATTGACCATCTACCATGCCGACAATGAACAAAGGGCTTAGGGGTAGGGGCTACCTACAAAGACGTGTCATGGAAACCTTCACCATGCAATGCCTTGAACTCAGCTCTGGCTGCTCCCGAGAAAAGGTGGCTGGCTGGGGGCCTGGACAAAAGCACAACGGGGCTGGTGGAGCCACTGTGCAGAGCTACTTGAATAATCACTGGGTCTTCATCAACTCCTTTTGTAACACAGACCACTCAAGGGCTGAAGTGTTGGTAACCTTCATTTCGGTGTCCAGTGCCTCACAGCAGCTGAGCCACCCTGAGATGCTCGCGGCCGCGTGATGGCCGCAGTCAGAGCTTTGAAAGTCGGTACCAAATGAATGCATAATTGGACACCAAAAATCAAGTGTTACTTTCATGTCTCCTCACCCTGTCATCTCATTTATTCCTGCCGACTCT